TTCACCCTCAAGAGCATCCTATTTGGCTAAAACAAAAATTACATGGTCTAATGTAACTAGTTTATCTGCCCTTCCAGCAGCAACCCTCACTTCCTTCATCTCACTTCTTACCAACTTCAACATACTTAATAAGCTTTTATTCTGTACTCCTTGGCTGTAGGTCCTGGAAAATAGCAACAATAAACAGCCAAAAATCTCTGCCCTTAAGGAGATTGCCTTCTAGCAAAGACAGAATACACAATATTGATTAGCAGATGACACACTATGGAGAAAAGTCAAGCAGGGAAGGAGGATCAAGGGGATGGTCTTGAGATCTGGGCATGGGAGGGGCTGTAATTTTAAAGAGTGGTCAGGTCTTCTTAGTCCTTCCCTTCTGAAAGAACTGAGGGAGAAGCCATTTAGTTACCTGGGGAAGCATTCTTCCTGCAGAGGAAAAATAAAGGTCTTGAGGCGGGAATGTACTGGCACTGAAGGAAAAGGAGGCCTGTGAGGTTGAAGTGGAGTAAACCAGGGGGAGAGCAGCACAAAGTGAGAGTTGGACAGGTGGGCATCTTGCAAAGTCTCCCGTAGGATGCTGGCTTCTGTTCCTAAAGCAAGACTGGAAGCCTCTAGAGGGGTCTGAGCAGAGAAGTGACCCAAAGTCTGACAGCTTTTACGAGGACAGAGACCTTGTCTGCTATGTTGAGAACTGGAGAAGGGTAGAGTGTGAGAAAGAAGGTAGCAGAGAGCTCACCTAGCAGGTGAGATGGAGGCCTGGACCAATGCGGATGGAGGTGGTGAGAAGTGGTCACTCGATATATAAAAGGCAGAATCAATAGAATCTGCAGGATTTGGATGTGGACTGTTTTATTAAAAATTGAGAAGTTAGGAATGACTGGGGGCTTCAGCTGTGACCTATAAGGATGGACTGGCTATTGCTGAGATAGGAAAGGCAGTGGAGTACCAACCTATCACCCCTCAAGCTGCTGCAGTCTGGGACTCACACGTGCAAAGCACTGTTCCCACCCTTAGTCTCCTTGTTACTAAGCCCAATGGACACTTTCCAGTCTCCATCTTCTCTTTGACCTCTTGGCTGTGATGCCAACTGAACCATTATCCTTTGTTCTCCAGGATTGTGATGTCCCCCTTCCTGGATTTCCCACCTTTCTGGCCATCACTTTTATGTCCTTGGCCTTGTTCCAAAATTCTGGGCCTCCACAGATACTTCCTGAGTGATTTCCTCCATGACCACAGCTTTTGATAGCCACCTAATGATTGTCAAACATTCAACTTCGGCCTATACCTTACTCCTTAGCTCCAAATCTGCTTCCCACATACTCCTAATGGTGCCCCCGACACCTCTACTTATGTAAGGCCGAAGAGACCTCTCCTCTATTCCAGCAAGTGGCACCATCAGCACCACCACACTGCTATCACGCCAGATTCTCCCCTCTTCATTATCCCCACATGCACCTCGTCATCTACACCTGTCAACGTCTCAAGTTTGACCCTTTCCTACTACTGCCTATCATTGGTCTCATCTTACTGGGATTTCTACAATGTCCAAATTGACCACTTTGAGTAATCCAAAATGAAAATCATTTTAACACATTTTTCATTCTATTTAAAAACAATCCAGACTCCCTATCACCAGCTCCTCAGCCCAGACAGAAGGGCTGTACAGCTTACTGCCCCGAGTCAACAAGGTGCTAAAACATCACTTACATAGTTGTAAATGTTCTGCAAGTTGACTCAATTCTTCTCATCCTTTACAGCCTTTATAAACAGGCAGCCAGACTGAAAGAATATAAACAGGCCCTCCAATAGCTGGGGTACCACTCAGAATAGAGAGAGGCAGAGTTCCTAATAAGGCTGCTCCTCCCCAGCCACAAGACAGCCTTATCAAAGTATCAGACTAACCCTTCCACTAGCAGAACCTCAGGACTAAGCCTGTCATGGGCTACACTTCCCTGTTCACCTAAGTCTCCACCAGATGCTCAAGCTTCCCCCATTCAGCTGCCACCACCTGAATTTCCACCAGCTCTCTCCGACTCCTAATCTCATCTAATACTGTCCCCTTCTCAAAGTCTCCCCTGTGAACTCTGGAATTCAGTCACCAGCCTCTTCTCTGAACATTCTCACTCTTACTCTATTTCTAACCAGACTTGCACCTAGGACACTAATTCCTTGGAGCTCTTTCAGTGATGGGTTTTTCTTCTAAACTCTGAGTACCCTGGTGCCAGTGGTAGGCTAGGTTTCCACTTACACCACTGCCACTTCTAAATGCAAACTTCCTTTTGAGGTCCATGCCTTCACACTATATTCATTATCCATCAGCATTCCTTGACTTTAATTCCAGCATCTTCACACTCAGACAGGATCCTTTGAACATCATGGTCTATTTTTGACCTCTTCACTTCCAGCAATTTCTTCCTCCCATCTCCCACTCACTTGACCACAACCTGAACTATCACTACTACCAGAAGCTGCATATCTCCAGGCTAATCATGCTTGTCTAAGGCCACCATCTCACATTCTCTCAGCTCCCTTAAATCAGTACTCCTATACTCCCTCAGTCAACTTGAAACACTTGCCACCTCCCAGACCAATTCCAATCACCAGGGAACCCTATGTGCTCTTACTGTCTAATCAGGATTTGACTTGGATCTGGGAACCATAGTGTCAACCATACCTTGCATTCACTTTCGATGCCTTTGCTCTTTTTCTCCTGCTGGATTCAGCTGGCCAAGCTCTGGGTAAATCCAACCCTCATCTGCTGACAATTCTATTTCTTTGGTATTCATTCTCCAAGACCACAATCTTACATTTTTACCCCTCCCCAAACCTCCAACCTTTCTTCATTTTTCTGAGGCCCACCAAAAAATTCCTTTTGAAACTTTTACTGAACTGAATTTGAATAAAGAACTGATATTGTTCTCAATATTCATGAACATGAAAACTCCCACTCTACTTCCATGTCAATAGTTTTGCTTCTTCCCAGAGACTTAGATGTTACAGACCTCTCCTTGATGCCACCACAAAGTGTATCATTTCTATTATACAAAATAAATTTTAACCACAGGGAACAGATGACATGCCTGATTTGATACAGCACTCAAAGATTTCTTACCATTCTCTGTACTCACTCTGTCCCAGCCACACAGGTCTTATAAAGGAACATAAGGTATTCATTAACTGTTACAGCTAGAGAACCAGGCTCAAGGCTGAGTGTCAAGAACGAAGAGCCAGAAAGGAAATCACTGCCATTGCTAAAAAGCGTTCCTTCCACCCTCTCCTCCAGGAGACGGTACTGACTTACCCGAAGTCTCAGGCTGGTGCATCTGAATTGTGGACCAGGTTCTAAACCTGCAGACTAGCTGAAAGAATGCACTCTCCTGTTGCCTTAGCAACTCAGAGGCTATCTAATCCTTACATACAGTGAAGAGATTCATAAACTGCTGGGCAACACAAGACAAATACATATGAAAAAATGTAGTTTTGCTGGCAACATTGGCAACAGTAAAAAAAACTTTCCTCCTTGATATGGTTTTTAAAATCATTCTATTATTTGATATTTAAGCATTGTTGGCATCATTTCCACCACATATATCCTAATGTAGGCAACTATAAAAAACACTGCATTTGACATACCACCATCACTGTGCAAATGTCTGTTCCACTGCACTCTTGCCAACAGTATTTTCATAACCACCAGAGTTGGTCCTGAATTGAGAAAAGGAGCTTCTAAGTGTTGACTGATACTAACTAGCCTAGCATACTACCATATTTCCCCCACTTTATTCCCAGTCCCCTGAATTAAAATTATTAGTGCAATATAATAAATCTCAGTTGACTCGAGCCCACTCTAGAAAAAGGCACTACCACCTGGCCTTACAGAGCACTGCATGACTCCTGCATGGGCCACGTTAGCCTACTCTATATCCCCATCATCTTTCCCCTTGGACCTCAACAGGCTGGCCAGAATGACCCACAATTAGTCTCTGGATAGCAGTCACTGATTATTCCATAAAGGAAGCCAAAGGGCATCTAGATAACAAGACATGATAAAACAACAGCCAGAACACGCTTAGGTTACAAGGGTGTTTGAAAACAAAATTGACATCACTGACCTCTGTGTCCCTGAGCAGCCTTCTCACAAGCATCCATATCTCTAGTGCCCACTCCCACTGGGGGCTAAGTGAGTGGCTTCCCGGGGCTGGAGTCCCGTGAGTCTCTACTAGAGTGTGCCCTCTTCCCTCTACTACTGCCTTCCAGCAAAAATTAACTCATGGAAAGGTAAATGGCCAGATTATCACAGTAAGTACTTTCTAATGTTCAATATGAGCCCACAGGCATACCACTCAACAAAGGGTTGCACACACTAGGAAAACTTCTCTGACTAAACACCAGTAAGTACCACCTATCTGCAGCTAGGTCCTATTGCCAGCCAGCTCAGGACTTATAAACTAAAATGAAACAAGGCAGAAACATACACAAAGAC